GTGTGCTCTTCCGATCTTTTTTCAATGATATTTATTGTTTGAATCAGTGTATTATCACCAGGGTTGGGTAAATTAATAATATTTTTAACCTTTAAGTTAAGTTAAATTTAAATTATAAAATAAATTAAGTTAAATTAAAAGTTGCATGAACAAAAAATTAACTCAATTAATAGTTGCATTAAAATTAAATTGAATTAGTTAAATTAAATTTTAATTTTAAAAAACATCATTTATATTAAATTAGAACGTTGTAATTTTTTAAAATGATATTACTCTAAATAAAAAACAATTACAATATAAATGATCAAATAAATTTAAGATTTTATTTGTAAATTAAATTTATATAAAATAACAAGGAAATATTGTCTTTATATAAAAATATTCTTTTTAAACAAGTAAATGTTTAATTTAGAAAAAAATTAATAAGTTGAAGTTTATATATATTTAAATCTAACTTGAAGTTAACAGTTCATTTGTTTAAAATTAACTATTAAGTTAAGTTAAAAGTTATTAACTATTTAACTTTATTATTTAACTTCTAATTTTTGAACTACTTGTTTTTGAACTACTACCCAATCCTGAATTTATCACTACAGAAACAACATTCAGATACTCACTGTTTATCACAGTTCTAAGTATGCCACTGGAAAGTGATATATATATACACCGGAAATCAATGATGATTCCACTGATTCACTTTTAGATATCTTATAGTAAGTTATTTATATAACTTCCGTTCTTTATATCTAATCAGTTATATCTAATCAATATCTCAATTACAAATAACGGATGCTCACTGGCGAGGACAATAATCACATAAGAGTGGACGAGGGCGGCGGTGAGACTTAGCGCGAAAGTCGCGGTCGCTAAGAAATCGATGATGAGATTCGTCGTCGTGGACGGTTTATGGAAATCGATGCTCTTCAAAGCCTCGACCGCACGTGTCTTAAATGTACGAAAGAAGCCGTTCGGCACCGAAGGTCAAGGATGCACCGATCGCGATGTCGCAGCTTCGCGAGCGTAGAATTTCGGTAGAAGCCGTTCAGCCTTGTCGGTGATGTGGCTCTGACGTGAAAGAATTAATATTACAATATAATTCCGAATTTATTTACATGAGGACTTCGGCGGCGAACTTCGAATTTTTCAAAGAATATTGCAAGTGTACAAACAAAACAATAGATATATACATATATGTACCATGTATATAAAACGTAAAGACTTAAAATAACAACTAAGAAATAAGATTAGAAAAATTATTATGATAATATTATAAAGAAAATATAATAATAAAATAATAACAAACTAAAAGTACAATGTTTGATATTCTTAAGCAATAACTATTGACTGATATTAACAATAATAATGCCGTTCAAGATGAATAATTCTGGCTTCTACTCAATACCTCAAACAACTCAGTGATGTCGGTTCCTTTCGTGAGCCGAATCCATTCAGATCTACCCGGATGCGATTTCACGAAGGTCTCCAAGTCGTAAAGTTTATTTCCTATTCTCCACAGGCCTTCCGCACCGTCGACTTTTCTCCTAGCCTCGAGAAAGCCCGCCGCGGTTTTTGACGGATTTCCTCTCGCCGGCAGATAAGCCAAGCCGGGTATCATGCTAGTTTTCGACATGTTGAAGGTTTTTCCGACCTCACCTACGTAAATAAAACACAAGGGCTTGACTGTTAGCTTGAACGGCGTTACTGATCGTAGTGAACGGCGAATTTATTTATACCGCGATAATTTTTGCACATGCAATAAGTAATAATATACGTTAATTCTTATCTACCTAAACTTTCTATAAATTTTTTATCATAATTTTTTTAATTTTTCAATAATTTTTTAATTGTTTAATAGTATTTAATAGTACTTCTTAACACTTTTATAAATTTCTATTTTAATTACAATCTCTAAATTCAATTTTGATTTTTATTGCAACATTAATTTTAATTTCTATCTTAGTATTTCTTTTTCTTAAACTCAATTTTTTTAATAAAAAAAATTTTTCTACTACTTTCATAAATTGAATCAGTAAAAATTTTGCTGATTGAAACTAGTAACAGATTATGCTAATGATATATTTTATTAATAATTCAAGTTCAAATAATGATAAATATGTATACTAATTTTCAATAAGAATATTCGCATTTTGTTCTTTCACTTTACACCTGATAAAAACAGTGGTAAATCGCACATATTAATAGAAATATGAAATAGAATATTAAAATATTGCCTGTCTGCACTTACAGATCATGAGTAATTTTTTTGTCCTAATAACAATAATAATAGGAAACACAAAATTGCAGTTGATAATAATAAAATAAATTTTACAATTATTTAAAAATTTATACTTACTATTTTAGTAGTCTTTAAAAAGTAATACATAATAAATACATTATTAACCGCCTAATAATATATTTTTAATATTTACTGATAAAATTGTTTGTGTGTGTGTGTGTGTGTGTGTGTGTGTGTGTGTGTGTGCGTGTGTGTGTGTGTATACACATACATTTCCGTCGAAAAATTTCTGGACAAAAATAAAATTGTTATGTTTGAAGTTTTAATTTAAATTAGTGCTTAATGCATTACTGTGCTAAATCAAAGAATAGATGATTTTGACATTTTAAGAGATACTTTAAGATACTTTGTAATTATTTTAAGTTTAATGCATCCCTACTACTCTAAACTATTAAATCTGAGAGGCATGTTTGCCATACTGAAAATTGCAATGTTTGACGGAATGCACGGCCTTGGAAAAATTTTTCTCGGAGTCGGTTTACAGCATCATAAAGTTTGAACCTTCCTCATTAATTTGAAAAAAAAAATGCAAGTCGTTACAATTTTTTTCGCAAAGTCACAGCATTTTAAAGTATAACTCTTGTATATTTTTCATGTACGGTCGACATAACCCAATGTGCACTATAGGGAGGTTGAAGATCGAATTTTGAACATTGTGTGCGTGCGGGCATGTGTAAAATTTACACACACACACACACACACACATAGTGTGCAAAATTCGATTGCCAACCTCCCTATGGTATGTCAGGTAATGCCGATTAAACATGAGAAAAATACAAGGATTACTTTTAATACTATAACATTGCAAAAAAAATCTTAACAACTTGCATTTTTTCAAATTAAAGAGGAAGGAGCAAACTTTATGACGCGGTAAACCGCATCTCCGAGAAAAATTTTCCCAAGGACATGCATACATCAAATTGCAATTTTTATTATAACAAACATGCCTCTCAGATTTAAGAGTTTAGAGTAGGGATGAATTAAACTTAAAATCATAACAGAGTATCTTAAAGTATCTCTTAAAATGCCAAAATCATCTATTGTTTGATTTAGCACAGTGCCGCACTAATTGTAAGTTCAGCTGCTTAAAACTTCAAACAAAAATTTTATTTCTGTCCAGAAATTTTTGGCGGTAGTACATATATATATATATATATATATA